TGTGCATAGACTCCATCATTTGTTTGTTAGCAACAATTAGCTCATCCAATGGAGACGGTGGAAAAGGAGAAGAGGGCTGGAAATAATGATCATTGGGTTGAAAATTGGCTTGAAAATGTTGCCCATGAGATTGTGGGGCTGAATTTTCCATGTCATGCCACAAGAAATTTTGGTGATCTCCCCTACCCGAGTCATAACCATTGAAGTATGGATCACTACCCGGTTCAGAGAAATTCTCATTTGGTTGCTCTAGATAAAAGTCCGAGAATTGTCTCGTTGGAAGACATTCTCTTGTATGATGTGTATGACTAGAGCAAAAGGCACAAAACTCATGTGGTGTGTAAAATTGAGTTGAAGGAAAATTACTTCCCATTAAGGACTAATTCAGCCACTTGATTAGATACATTAAGGTGAATTCACACAAAATATATACAACACAATTAAACTACGCAGCAACCCTTCACCAAAACATCCACATGCAATGATCCCTTTCTCCTCAATTATCAAGACAAAAATGTAAATGGCCACGACAAGGACCGATGCTTGAACATGAAATATAAACAAGATAAGAGCCTCGACAAGGGCTTCACAACTAAATTAAACACATACACAATATTCACAATGTGAAACTAGAAGTCAAGAGACTTACCTGGGGTCCTCTAGACTTACAATTTGCTAACAATCCCACGGCGAGATTCGAGTCCCTAGAATCTTATAACACGAAGATGATCAAAACACACAAGGAATATTCATAAGACACAATATTAACAATCAAACTAAAATTAACCCTAGAACCTTGGTCGCTAAACCTTATGCAAGTCCCCGGCAACGGCGCCAAAAATTGATCGGTTGGTCAATTAAACATCAACCTTCGCAATAGCACGAATCATTGTAAAATAGGGCTATTGGTCGGGTAAGTCGAACCACTGGGACTGCACTAGTCTAAGGCAACCTAAGTGTCTAGAGTCATTCTTAGGATGATGAAGGGGTATAGAGTGTTTGTTTGTCACTAAAGATAGGAATGTAAAGATGCATAAATTAAGAACTTGCAAGAATTTAAAAGAGATAAAATGTGGGTAAAAGAGACTAGGGAAGTAACTTCACCACCTACAATATAAACATGCTAGAATATGATTCATTCGGGGAAAAACAACATAAATATGTGGCTATGATAAGTAGTTACTCATGGTTACTACATTACCTTCAAAGGATTCATGGAATCAATAGGCAAGAACAATTTATCAAAGATTTTACATGCTCAATTACCTAAACTAAAGTGTAATTTAAGACATGTTCACTAAGCTAGAAATTGTCAAACCATCAATCACATGATAAGAGCACATGAAGCTAAGAATTAAGAATAAGCCATCAAAGGAAGAACCTAAGCTATGGCCTATCAAATCTCTCAACAACATGCCATTAAAACCATTCCAAAAATCTCATCTTCATTGTCACCATGAAAATGTAAACCATACAACCATGAAAACATACATTCTAAGACAAGAAAGTAGGTCCAACATGATCATTAAATCAGAATCAATTCATTACATCAAGAGTTCTAGATTATGGAATCACCACAAAAATACATTATTTTCCCCAAACTAGAATCAAAAGTAAAGCATGCTTACAATGAGGGGTTCCATTACCTCCCTAGAGGAGGAGTTAGTTACACATGGGAGCCTTAGAATGAAGAAGAACCATGGATCCTCCTTCCATTTTCGAGCTCCCCTTTATTTGCTCCAAGAACTCTCTTCTTGCTCCTCTTTCTCTCCCCTCTATCTTCCCAAAATCAAGCTTAATGATATAATGAGTGGTTTTGCTTCCCTTATCTAGATCACTTATCCACCCCAAAAGCTACCAACCAACATCTCCAACCACTTCATAAAAGAGGCAATCCAAAAAGGCTAAAATCTGAGCACAAGTGGGCTGAGTCGTGTAGAATTCTGCCCTAATTTCGAGTGCTCGAAATAGGGCCTCGAGCACTCGAAAATTGGGCAGAATGCCCTATGCTTGGTTTGCTCCGCCCAGACCTACTTTGGTAAAACGGCCATAACTTTGTGCTCCAAACTCCAAATGACAAACCGTTTGAAGATTTGGAAAGTTAATTCAGAGTTCTAAAAACTTTATGTTTTGGTGGAGATCCAATTCTCAGGTCTGGTTGGTCGAAATTGAAGAACAAGGCAGACTTTCATTGCTGCCAGGCAGTTCTGAGCACCCCTAATAAGAAGATCATAACTCTCTGCTCCGAACTCCGAATGACAAACCACTTGAAGATTTGGAAAGCTGATTCAAAGCTCTAAATCTTTCATGTTATGATAGAAGTCCAGTTCTCGAGTTTGGTAGGTCAAAAATGGTGAGCAAATCCGGATTTCACTGCTGCCAGAATTCAGCATTGCACCTTCCTATGTTCAAAACTCCACAAAGCATCATTTTTGCTTCCTTTTTGCAATCTAACCTGAAAATGTGCAAAAACATACAATTGGAGATAATCTATATAAAATATACAAATAAAGAACTTAACTAATGCAATTTAGGGCGCTTGAATATACAATATTCGGCGCTTATCAATAGATACGCTATGTGCAGACGCAATAGTACCTGAGTGGGCATAAGTGGAGGTTGGCTGAGATGATGCCTCCATTTGGTAGAAGAATTGTTTAAACTTGTCCAAATCAGCTTGAGTCAAGGTAACTGTGGCAGAAGATATAGAGGCAGAGTTGTCAGGAGTTGACAATGAGACTGGTTGTGTGACAGAATGTGCAGAGGATCGAGGCTGTTGTTTCTGTTGCGGTGGGCGTCCATGTAGAGCATAACAACGAGATTTGATGTGACCAATTTTTCCCCAATGGTCACACCGTCCACGTTGTCGTCCCAGAGGAGGACTGGTGGTAGAGCTCTGAACTGACTGGGATGGTGCAGTTCCTAAAAGGTTAGGAACCCGAACTGCCATAGCAGAACGATCAACAAAAACAACACCTAATGGATGAGTCCGACAGCTCTCATCTAACAACACATAGGAGTATGCATCCTCAAGAATAAGGAATGAAGAGAAGCCCAATAAATGAACATAAGCATACTCAAACTCGTCATTCAACCCGACAAGAAACTGAAACATTCGATTCTTCTCCACAATCCCTGCATATAAAATTGCATCATCTGGATCCTTCTAAGAGTGGAAAGAATCTTAATATGACATCTCCCAAATAGCACGAAGCTTGGCGATGTATCCTGAAACTGTCAAGTCACCCTAAGAAATCCTGGTGATATCTCGCCCCAGTTGGAAAATCCGTGCATTATTCTGCCTCTGAGAATAAGTGCGTTGAACTAAATCCCAAATCTACTTAGCAGTCTTCATAAACATATAACCAACAGCTATGTTTGGTTGCATCGAATTGACTAGCCAAGACATAACTATAACGTTATCTGCAAACCAATGTGGATATGCCTTCTCTGACTTAACTGGCTCTTTCTTAGAACCAGTAATATAGCCGATCTTGCCTTTGCCACCAATGAACATCTTGGCAAACTGTGCCCAAATCAAATAGTTGGAACCATCCAACTTCACTGTGGTGATTTGAAGTCCTGGATTTTCTAATGAGTTGGTGGGAAAAATGGCACCACCACCCACAGAACTTGAGCCAAGAGAATTAACAGTCGAGGACCCTGAATCTGCCATAACCTGTCACACGACAATAAAAAAACTCCAAAAACACCACAAATTCTGTTAATAAATCAAAGGGTCTCCTCAGACCATAAATAATAACAATGTCTACTCAGACCATTCCCGAAAAATCCAAATACATGCTTTTTTTAAGGAGCGCTACCCGCTTACATATAGCCAAACAGCCTCCTTCTTAATATCCAGAACCTCTTTATATACTAAATTTTTTTTTACCCAAGCCCTTCTAGGTGTTGGAGACCAACTATCCCAATTTACCTAACCCTAGAAGAGTAAAAAAGAAATTGTAAAACTTAAAAATACATATTTTCGATCACAAAACAGCAACACAGAAAAACATGTGTAGGCAACATCACACGATGTCACAAACAGCCTAAGGTGGTTGTCGCACAAGGAGCAAGGTTGCTGAAAGGTATGGAAAGGTGTTGGCTCTAATACCAAGTAGAAATATAAAAAAAAGAAAAATGAGAAAATTGTGTAAAGGTTTGAATGAGATGAATCACTCATTCATAACTCTAGTATTTATAGATAAAAGAGCACATGTTCATATTACAACAAAGGAAACTAAATTAAATCTAAATCAAATCACAACATATTCTAAAGCATATTCTATGGCATATTCAATAGCATAATCAAACCTCTGCTAATATGGCAAGTCATTTCATAAATCGTGGCTATCATATAAACTAACATATGCATAGTCAAATATCTACTATTATGATAAGTCATTCCATAAATCATGGATATCATATATGCTAACAACTTCCTTTATGCCCAAATGGTCTCAAGAGATCTCATTGTAAGGAGCTTACTGACAAGATTACAAGTAAGATTTACTGTTGGAACACAAAACTACTTTATGTAGCAGGTAAGTTGGAATTGCTTGGCGTTGTGATTACTCCTACCTTCCAGTACTGGTGTAGCATATATATGATATTCTATGGCAATCATAAACCTAGTCCAGAAAGTGTGTATAGATTTTCTTTGGGGGAGCAAAGAAAATGCAAAGAAATTACACGATTTAAACTGGGATATGGTTACAAGAACAAAACAAGAAGGTGGATTGGGATTACGAAAACTGTCTGATCTACAGATGGCATCTAGATGTGTTCTGGCTTGGGATTTCCTCAATAGCAAGGATAAGTTATGGATTTCTTGGTTTAAATACAAGTATATCCCACAGACAAACTATTGGAATGCGATTGGTGTTGGTTAGGGAATTGATGCAGCAGAAGATTAATTTTCAGATTGGAAATGGCCAGTATTATTTAACGACCCTTGGTGTGGAGGCCAAACTCTTACTGCCAAGTTTGGTCACAGAATGGCTCGAAGTTTACAGCTCCCCAGAAACTCTCCTCTGAGTACTTTAATTCAAAATGGGGTATGGAAGTCACAACTTCTCCAAGATGAAGATGTTGCTCCATTCAGAGATTATCTACAGTCTGTGATTATCAAAAATTATGAAGATAAAATGCTTTGGGATAGTCGGAAATTCTCTTTCAAATATGCTTGGAGGTGTGTCAAGTCTGTTGATGCAGAGGTTCAATGGCATAAATTGTGCTGGGGCAAGTCAAGACCTCAGTGGTCCACTACAGCAGTGTTTGTGTTATTGGATAGGCTGCCATCTATGTGTAATTTGCAGAGAAGAAAGGTTTATCTTGCTCCTAGATGCTCCCTATGTCAACATAGTTGTGATACCACTGATCATCTTTTTGTTGCCTGCCCTTTCTCCCAAGCTTTTTGGGCTTGGATGGGTGGGGTACTTGGATGGAATTTGCACCAGTTCCAGGAGGTTGAATCTGTTTGGGGTCTTTTTCTTTGGATGGATAATCTCTACAGGAATTCAAGGACTCTACAAAGTTTGTTTGCAGCCGGGTTATGGCACATTTGGAGAGAGAGAAATAACAGGTTGCATGGTTCCACAAGTCTCCCACATGACACAGTGGCTAGGATTGCCCTCATGGAAGTTATTGAAGCTCAGAATGTTTCTCTTCAGGATATTATTCCATAGTCTCTGGCTTTATACTTTTCTTTTGTATTGGAAATGAGTGTTTTCGTTAGGAAAATTGGCCATTGACTTTTATCTTTATTTCTCTGAGGGTATGCCCTCTATGCTCGTGTAATCTTTCATATTTTTTGACCAATACAATACAACACCATTTATGAAAAAAAAGAAATGTTCCATCAAGATGCATGCTGAGAAGACAGGTAACACTGGGTACCTCAGACTCATACCCTTCTCGTGCGTAATGGCAGATTGATATTTAGGAAGGGTGAGGAAGTAAGCGATAAGGTTGCAAAGTATAAAGGTCGGAGCTCCTGCACATGTTGGCCCGATTGCTCCAATTGATGTTGTTGTCCCACCAGGGAAAAATGAACTTGATCCTTCTCAGACTGACTTCTTTCAGGTGCTTAACATCCCAACTAAGATTAACAAAGGCACGGTTGAAATTGTCACTGCTGTGGAGCTTATCAAGAAGGGTGACAATCTGGGCTCTTCTGAAGCTGTCCTTCTTTCAAAGCTAGGGATAAGGCTATTCTCCTGGAGTCTCATAGTCATGTTTATCTATGACAATGGTTCTGTATTCAGTCCTGAGGTGCTTAACCTCACAGATGATGACCTTGTTTACCTCTCTGTCAATGGCTGTCGCATACCCAACGCTTGCTGCTGCACCTTACATGTTCATAAATGCCTACAAAAAAAAAAAAAAAAAAAAAAAAATCGCCTTTGCAGTGACATCAGAGTATCCCTTCCCACTGGCTGAGCAAGTGAAGGAATACTTAAAGGACCCAAACAAATTTGTAGTTGTTCTGTTCTGGCTCCAGTTGCTGCTGTTGATTCTGGGACTGCTCCAACAGCTGCTGCTAAGGAGGAAGCAAAGAAGTCTGATGAAGAGGATGTTGTGAGGATGAAGGCTTATTCGGTTTCTTTGATTGAGTTGTTTAAAGTATCAGAGTGCTAAATGGATTGAGTAGGGCAGCTACTTATACTTTGCTATTATTCAGGATCCTTTATCTTCGAGGTTTACATGACTAGTCGGAACCACTGCTTCAATCAGAAACAACTTTTCTACCTTAAGTTTAAAAATAAATTATATATATATATATATACACACACACATATACATATATATCCTTCCCATGAACATGCAAATAAATGCATCTTACTATGATCCATTAGTTGCTCTATCATGTTTCTATCATTTAGTTCTCAGTGTACATTAATTAAATCAAACTAGTACTAATTAATATAATAACACCCACCAAGAAAGTATCTTCTATGAAATATTAACTCACATCACCCAAAAGCAAAACTATAACTCAAAACCGGTGCACTTGAAATTCTGTACTTATTATACATACAATTAACATACAATGCCATTATCAAGTACAATACCACATAACAGTTGAAGCAATACATCAAAAAATAATAATAATAAATAAATAAATTGATTTTTTTACAAATAACGGTCTTCTGAAATCCAAGATGAAAGGTGCAAAAAAACAGAGTGACAAGGACTTGAGAATATATATGTAGTGCCTGACATTGTTCCATGATTTTGAACGTGGTTTTAGTAGTAGAACTTAGTGTTGTACATTATTGTTTAAACAATATATATATATACACACACACGCGCGATAATAGGGAAAAAACAAACCATTGGATTAAGCAGCGAGGCACAAAGCATTAGACTGAAGGGCAGCACAAGTTTGTGGAACTGAACATCATGTTTGGACTCCTGCAGGGCTTAGATGCATAACTCCTCGTGGAAATGCAAGGCCTCACAAAATTATAGATGCAAGGTCTCCCTTGGAAAATCAATAGCGTTCAGGTGCTGTCTTATTGTTTCTAAATATATTTTTCCCCAAGCATTGTTTCTAAATATTCATTAGTTATAATAGTATTACATTGAGGTCCTTGTACCTGTTAGTACCTAATAATTAAAATTTTATGAAGTACCTCAGTAGCTAATAGTCATGGATTGAAAAAGCAATATACGCCTTGTGGAGATACTACAGACACCACAGAAAATATTAACAATCTATGCACAACAGTGTTAAGGTAATCAGTATTTCTAATTATTTCCCATTAAAATCTATCATGATTTGGATTTGACCTCATATTTTAGAGTATTAAATGAAATTTCATTAATTCATCTCCAAACCCATTTTTTTCATTCTTCTTCATTTAATTAAATCAAGAATCTCACAGATTCTCTAAAATACTTACTCATGCATTATAACTTCCAAGACAATATACATGAAGAAGTGTAACAATGGTAAAATTTGAACCAACCACTAGTCTACAGGCCAATTTACTTTGCAATAACATTAAGTATTAGCAATTACTAACTGCTCAAGTTTTTCCCCAAAAATTCCTTCTCACCATAACAACAATAGGAACATCCACTTCAAATTTTTAAGAGAGGGTTCAAAAACATATTTATTCTGACTCAGAGGGAGAAATGCACTGGAGTACCAATGTGTATCATGCACCTAAATTTACATATGGTAATATTCAGCTCTTACCTAAAACAAGTCATTTATGGATATTATCAGGGGGGCCATGCAGGTCCAGTCTAGCCTCCCTTTCGCTCCACAAGGATCAAGATAAAATGAACGCCCACTCTCTTTCTGTCAAGCGAAGATATATTTCTAATCTCTCAGTGATTAATGATCACGTGAGACACAAATTCTTTAGTTCAGATTTTTCTAGTAAACAAGAACATAGAATTCCTGATTATTCAGAACGTAATCATATCATATGTAATAGTCATTGTAATCTCACATATCCTGCCATTTTCCACGAGAATTCTGATTTATTGACAAAGAGGCGAAGAAATAGATTCATCATTCCACTCCAATCGATTCAAGAACACGAGAAAGAACTAATACCCTGTTCAGGTATCTCGATTGAAATACCCATAAATGGCATTTTCCGTAGAAATAGTATCTATAATAAATGGGAAAAATAAAGAGAGAATCTTTCATCAGCAAACTACTATTGTGCATATCACCAGAATGTCAACAGAATACCTTCCCAGGCAGGGGGCAAACTGGTTGGAGACTAGGGGCGACCATGGCCCTCCTAAAATTTTGCAAAACCCCCAAAAATAGCCCTATTGTAAATAGTAACTTTCAGAATAGGCAAAAAGGCTAACATGCGGGCCCCCAAGGAGTTGAAGAACCTCAATATGAGTCCTTTCAGGTCATATTTTTTAAAGTTTAAATTTTGAGGGAAGGGTCAGAAATTTCAATTATAATCCCTATCCCTATTCCTTTTCTCAATTTATGCACTTAATAATTATGAAGATTCATGTAGATCCAATTTCCAAAAATTTTTTGTTTTTTTTTTTTTTTTTTCGGATCAGGTAAGTTTACTCGCACACACTTTGCCCACACAGTGACTCAAACCCCTCCCCTCCTCCTTGAGGATGGGGAGGTTATACCATTGGGCCAAAGGCCCTTTGGTAAATTTCCAAAAATTCTACTGTAAATAAAAATATTATACTTTAATTTTTTTCATACTATTTATACAGCCCCTCCAATGAAAAGTTTGTAGCTCTGCCCCTATTCGCAGGTCCCATCTTCGAGATAATTAGAAACTAAATTACAATATATTAGTATTTTTTCTTGTAAATGTTGTCAAAAATACTTAATAGTGTTACACCCTTATGACACAGATCAATGATACCTTCATTTTTCAGTAGACTACATTTTATTTATGATCTTTACCCTTGGCAGCCAAATGGTATAGTAAATCTTTCGTGCATTTAGGTCCCTAATACAATCACCCTTGGCAGCCACATGGTATAGTTAATCTTTCATGCATTTAGGTCCATAATACAATCTGAAACAGAAACATTAATGCACTAATTGGATTACACCACTAAAAGCACATTCCAAAATAATAATTCTTTTAAATCCAAGACTACCTTTTAGGCCACAATAGAAACGTTAAGAACAATTCAAACAATTCTAAGACATTTAGACACTAAATTCAGCTTCTGGATACAAAATGCCAACAAAATTCTGCATTGCAAATTGTGTAATGAAAAGAAAATGTAACTAAAAATAAAACTGATGTTGATCTAAGTTATGTGATAGAAAACAAGTCAGCAAAGCCACTGTCACAAGTTACAAGAGCTCCAAAGCCACAAGAGAAACTGAAAGTTCAGAACAAGCTAACCTTGAGCTACCAATAGTATCTCTTATGATGCATAGAGAATATGAAGCTGAAATCTGCTTAGTATCATTTGGAGTTATTTTTTCTCCCCATAAGAACGATAAGATATTCAGTAACTCAACGCCGCTTTGAACCAGAAGAATTGTGCATATCCAGCAGTTGATCAAGGGACACCAGAGACCACTTGTCCTCATTTTGTGCATATACCAATTGATTTAGAGAGTCTATTATTATGCTTATGTTACCAAAGCCATAGATCTGATGACCATCTTGCATTCTACCAGGTTTAGGCTTAAATAGCAACCCATTCTGCAGTGCATGGACTTCAATGACTTCTTTCATGCTCATCTCAAGTCCACCACCCGAACCTTCCATCTGGGCTGCACTACCCAGGTTTGCAGCAGCTCGTTGGTGAGCCTGGCCTGCTGCTCTTTGCTGAGCCTCCAATTGTCTTTGCTCAAGCACGCTAAAATAGCTAATGTTCTCCCTCAAACCAGGTTGTACCACTTCCATGCCTTCAACAGCCTGGTTCATCATGCCAAGACCCAGATTAAGCCGATGCCGAATGTGTTGATGTGCCTGAAGTTCCACAGGGAGAAGGTCCTTCCAACCCTTAAACCATTGGGTCACTTCTTCAAAATTTGGGTTTGAGCACAACCAATGATACAAAACTTGTTGCCACTTATCAAAGAATACATCCATTAACCGAAGCATGTGATGAATGGGAATAACAGTAACCCAAGTCCGGACCCAATAGAACTGATCAAGTTTCTGATTTGCTGGGTTTACTTGGAAATCTTGCATGACAGCCAACAATTTTGGAAGAATGTATCGAACCATTAGTTGTTCCCAACTGGCTGGGTCAAACACAGTCTTCCAAGGTGACAGTATATAATAAGCAGACATATCACTGGGGTGCCAAGCATGAAGAACACTTTCCAATCTATTTCGTATTGTTCGATAGAAGGTCTCCAACTTCTGTCCCAACAAGGGTAGCCATGGATGCATCCAAGCATGAATTGGAATAGTTTCCTGGCGCGGGTCCCATGAGTCCACAGCAGCTGATAATTTCGGCATCACAATGTTGTCCAGTATGGTTTGAAAAGCTGAAGGGGGCAGCAGCTTTTCCCAACATTCCAAAAAGCGAAGCATTGGTTCAGGGTCCCTTGCCTGCCAAGTATTGGTGCCATATATCCTCACAGCAGGAAAGACAACTTCCATAAACAGCTGAGTATATGGTGACGCCACATCTGAGATATCAAAAATATCCTCCCCTTGCAACAGATTCTTCCACAAGGATATCACTTCCAACCCGTGTGATGGATTCTGAAGAGGGTCCCATCCTTGAAATACTCTAATAAATAAAGGCACGGCATATGAGCAGGCAATGCAAGAAAGGTTACAGAGTTTGTAATTATCAGCATATTTCCTCTGCAAGTCCTTAAATGACTTTGCAAGTGAGTCTAGAGTCAATGTTCCCAATGAGTTCTCCTCGCCTATCCTGTCCAAAATGCTTACTATTTCTTCCATACTATCCAGCTGTTCCTTCTGGCGGGCTGCCTCAATTTGGATCTTCTCCTTCTCCTTTTGTAAAGCAACCACCGTCTCCCTCTCGTTTCTCAAATCCCGGTCTATTTTCTGTATATCCAACTCAGCTAAGTCCACAACCAGTCTAACATTATGCTGAAGCTCAGGCATGGGGATGTCATTTTCCCTTGCTTTCTCCTCTGCATTCAAGTTCTCCAAGTTCGTTAAGATGCGAACCTGAGGACCCCTCATATCGAACACTTTATGAACAACTTCAAGGCTTTGCTCTTGCTTCCTGACCAACAACTCTTCAGCCGTAAGATATTTATCCTTCCTCTTGTGCCGAGCTTGCTTTGACCACCGCTTCTCTTTTGAGCGGCCCTCCACAGACTGAGCCACCTGAGGCAGAGTTTTCTTCTCCTCTAATTCCTGTAATGCGGGCGATTTTGTGGTCTCTTTGTAATCATTAAAACCCATACCCATATTCTTCGGCCGCAGCTTGGCCTCAATGGGAGAAACAATCCCCTGCTCATTCTTCCCAAGACCGCCTCCCTTGTAGCCCATCTTCTCAAGAAGCTTCAGTCCAATCCCTTTTGTATGCTTCTCGAATCTGCCAACGTCACCCAACTCTGCCTCCTTCCTCCCAGTCCCCACCTGAGATTTCTTGGCAAGTTTGGCTTTTTCCCTTTCTTTGTCACGCCGCTGCTGGGCACCCTCCTTGATCTTCCTGCCGAAAGCCGTGGGGAGAAATTCATTGTCCTCATCATCATCATCTGCATTCCCACTTTGGCTCTTCTTCTTCGAAGACTTTCCCAAATGAAACCCCAGGCCAGAAGAACCCAAGTTAGTTGACCCAAAACCCAAACCGGATGGCTTAGGGTCCTCCTCCTCATCCTCCTCCATGGGGACAGACTCTGCATTGTCTAATTCCTCTTTGGAATTGCGGTCTATCTCCTGGTCGGGCATGACAGTGCCGGTGGAGACGAAATTGACGGGCTTGGTGAGGTCGTAGGCTTTCTTGGAGTCTTTCCTGCGTTGCTTCTTGCCTCTCTGGTAATCATCATCGTCGGAGTCGGAATCAGAGGCGAAAACGCCGTAGAGGACATCGTCTTTGGTCTGTAAATGCTTGTCCTTGCGCTTGCGGTAGTAGAATTCTGCACCAATCCACTGACCGTCCTCGAAATCGTTGTCCATCCCAAACCCCTCCATCTCCTGATACTCGTCCATAGTTCTTTCGTTCTTTATTGTTGTTTCCTTTTTCTATGCTATTGGAGTAGTCCAGTAACAATATACAAGAGAGTAAATCAGGAACCCTAAAATCAGAAACCCTAAAATCGAATTGTGCATATATGTGTGTCTATAGAGAGAGAGAGAGAGAGACTGCAGAGAATCTAGGAAAAATATTTAAAAAGAAGGAAAAAAAAAAAAATAAAGTTGGTGAAGTTACCTTTGAAGTTTGAATTGATGAACAAGTTAGTTGCTAATCCTCGGTTGATTGTATGCTTCTTGTCTGAGGCAAACAAAAATCGTCCGTAACAACTAGGTTTCTATGAATGATTGAATTGCTTGGCGTGTGAGAGAGAGAGAAAAAGACCATCGACATTGGGCCGACAACGTATGGGCCGGGTCGGTACTCTTACTAAATTTTTAAGAACTGAAAATAAAAAATTGTACAAAAATAAATAAAAATAAAAATTTATTTGGTTCAATTTTATAAAAAGGTTTGCTTTCATATAACGGTTTTTTATTGTTCTTTAAAAACTATTTTCTATTATCTGAATTCTTGAGAACTGTTTTCAAAGTTACAAATCAAGTAAGCCTGAAGTCCTTTCTGGCCCAGCCCTTAATTTGACATGAGTTTGTGTTAAAAAATATATATTTCATATGACATTTAAGATATAACTAACCTTATACTAATATGTCAAAAGATAATTAATAATATGTTAAAAATAATTAAATAAATATGTAACTCGATATTTAATTAAACATCCAAATTAAAGCAATAAAATAATAATTACTAAATAAATAATCTTGATCGAGGCTAGTATTGGATAATATGTCCTTAAAACAATTTACGCCCCGCATAGTACTGACATACTCTATGGCGTTTGTCTCCCAAGATACAACGATCTACATCCACCAGTAGCAACACTTCAAACTCGTGGATACAGCGAACCTCCTCCGTGTAACTAAAAAATGCATCTATACTATATAAATAATGAATTGGGTAAAATCCGAACCAAATGGCTCGGACAAATTTTAATATAGCCTATTCATATTGTTATTGGGTCTAAGTGGCTTGAACCTACATACACTTGGGGTTGGGTTTATGTTAAAGAGAGAGAAGAATAAAAAGTGAACGAATTGAAGTGGCAGCCAAAAGTGGGTATTTAGAGAGTAACTGGTGCCTCTTAGTAATTAGATGTGTCCCTTTATTAGCATCCCACACTTATTCATTTTAGGTTGCAATGTGTGATACCCCCGGATTTCCGGATGCGGGTTGGCCAGGCCCACACCCGATTACCCGAGGATATCAAACCAATTAGCAAGAAAAGAACACAGAATGCAATTAAGGAAACAGGAATAAATAAAACTGCTGAAAAGAAACTAGAATGATAATCCAAAACTGAAAACCTCGGAATAAAATTTTATAAATAAAGTATTAATCTGATACATCCAACTTTTTCAATTCTAATACAACTCGGGAATCCATCTGGTGGACCCCTAATCAAAACAAATACTGGAAAACGAACAACTGAAAAGAAGTCCACTGCTAAACCATGCAGAAACCTCCTACGTCATCAGTAGAATGAGTAGTCGTCTCTGCTCAGCACGAACCAGCTCTAAGACCTGGAACCGTCCGTTACCTGAAAAATAATATTGGGTCAGGCCCACGAACAAGTTCTATCCTAATTACAATCCAAATAGAGACCCGATACGTAGATATATCCTAGATGTCTCAACAATATCTATATAGTCCGTAATAGATAAATATATATCCACGCTACAGGACTCTTACTAAACTATGCTGAGGGTCTCAACCTGAATAGAAGGCAACATGCAATACGCACCTGAGTGGGCTTGACTACCTAAGCCTAACAGGGTATACCTCAACCAACATAGTTAGCTACGCATCCTACTGCATATAAGCACCCTAACCGTCGACTATTAGACTCAAGCTCAGATCGCTGTACCATAATAATATATTTAAAATCCGTTCTTATCCATCCATAGGAAATCCAATAAGTCGTTCAGCTTATTCAACCGCACAGACTTAAATATAAGGAGAATTATGTTTTTATAATCCGTACCCTTATTCCAAACCAATGTAGTGCCGCTCAACTGTTCGTCGCTCGAGATACAACATTTAATCAGGATTTAAATGTTTTAATTAAATCCATATCCTTCCTAATATAGAAATATAAACAACCATCCAGTATGTCGTTCAACTATTTTAGTTGGCAGAACATGAAACCATGTAGGATTTAACTGTTTTAGTTAATCCATTCCATATGTATGAATAGGTAGGAATTAGCATTGTGACCTAATCCGTCCCTCCATACAACACCGTCCCATACCGGTGCATACATACAAATGATCCGTAAATGATGCAACATTTTATACTGTACACCAAATAAAGTTCACATTATCCATATAGTTGATAAACACAGCATTTGAAACAAGTCATCAACTAAAAATCCAGAATCCATCCATGTAATTAAACGAGACAAAGTTTACTAATTCGTCAAGTTAAATTCCAACATCCATCCAGGTAATTGATAGAAAATATATATTTAATTCTTCAATTAATTCCAAGCCAACATGCAATTAGATTGATAACTAGGTTCTGTCAATCTAATGCCAAACCCTAATCCAAGTAATTGCAGTGTAATGCTTAATATTACAACAATTAAAATTCCAAGCTTAAATATATGCATTGCAGAAAGGAATTTAGCATTTCAACTATTAATATCCAATTATGCATAGACCAAACTTGTTAATTAAATAATCCTAGTGTGCAACCAAAACAAGATTTAAAAATATAAACATATTCCGTTAAATTGCTAAAATTAAATTAAGCAATTGAACTCCTTCCATCCATTAACCACCTGTACCGTGGTACACTTTCCTACAGTTAAATCCATGAGTACTAAGACCTTAATTTATTAAAAGTGACTCTAATACATCATGATAAAATGTTTGGAATCCATGTTCCAACCCTTCTTGGTTGCTAGACACAGTTTGCACAATTACATCCTTCCGGCCCGTTAAGTCTGTAACCTGCCTTCAACTTGCTTTAGATTTTCCTATGGTTTACAACATTAGCATATAGATAGATTAATGCATCCTATGCCCTTAATACTCCATGACCTAAGGTTTAAAACCATCACAGTAACCCAAACACAGCTGAAAACAACATAGTTTGTACCAACAGTGCGTAATTAAACTTCCGTAATGCAAAAAACCACAATGCCTTCTCTAAAAAAACTAGAGAAGGCTCTAAGCTACCTAGAGACGTCTCCAACTAAGGGAGAGCCTTCTCTAAGTTTTCAAGAGCCTTTTCTAAGTGGATTGAGCCTTCTCTAAGTTTTCAAGAGCCTTCTTTAATTTTTTTAAGCTTTTATAACACACGCTGTAACTCCCAAAACCACAGAGCCTGCTCTAAAATCCTGGAGTAGGCTCAATCAGCCTAAAGCCGGCTCTCCCACAAGGGGGAGCCGGCTCTCCTTGCCTAGAGCTGGCTCTCTCTCCTTTGAGAGCCTCGGTTTGTTTCTTCGCCGTTTTCAATGATCTGCTCCATCTCTGACCCTTTCCTACCCCTCTGTTGGGGTCTTAAGAGTCCTAGAAACATCCAATAACATCCATATGACTTGTTCACAATAGTTCAATTCAATTACAGTGATTAAAGTCGCTACTGATTTAACATGCTTTTAACGCAGACTAAAACACAGAGATACAAGAACTATAACAGAACAATTCCATGCATACAAATATCTGAATTGGCATATAACAAGCATGTAAACTTTAATTAGTGATCCATTAAAACCCTAGAGATAATCTAAGGATGCACAGAACACAGGCAACGGGAGAAAGAAAGGAAAGAACTTGCCTTGACCGTCTCTGAATTTTCCGATGAACTCTCCGACGACTGTTCCACCTCTGTTGCTCTTGGTTTTATCCACGAGCCAACCACTGCTCCTCCTCCTCCTTGGTTCAACCCTAGCCTAAGGCAAAACCCTAAACTTCCTCCCTTTAGATCTCTCTGTAATTGTGATACCCCTCAGATCTAGAGCCACGAGTGATCAAGTTCGAGCACAGATCCGAGGGATACCAAATAATTAAATATATAAACAAGCATAGAGTACAAGAAGGATAAAGAATAAATAAATAAAAGGAAAGGAAAAAAATAGTAATAATAATAATTATAAGACTTATTAAATAATCCTCCAAATGACAATATCCAAAAAATATCTGATATCATTATAACTCGGGAATCCATTATGTGGACCCCTAACCATAAACAACTGAAATTAAATACTGAAATAAAAACGAAATCCAAACTAAAACAAAAGGTAGACTCCTACGTCAGATCGGAAGAGTGATGATATACTGTCTCCGCTCAGCACAAACAACCTCTAAGACTGGAACTGTCGAACACCTGAAAAATAATAGTGGGTCAGGCCCACGAACAAGTTCTAATCTACTACATCCCAAACAGAGACCCGATACACGTATACATCCTAGTCAATCCAACAGTAACTAGTAGTCTGTATATATATATAAATACACACTAAAGGAACCTCACTAGATTATAGGGTTACCTCAACCTGAATAGTAAGCATCACACAAAACGCACATATAGTGGGCATGAATACTTAGACCTACCAGGACACATAATTACACTATATCTAGCTACACATCCTTGGCGATATACGCGTCCTAACCACTGATCCTGAGACTTAAGCTCATATCATGACACCATAATTATATATATATAATCCATCATATCCAACTATAATTAATCCTCTATAAGTCATTCAACTTGTTCCGTTGACTTGACTTGAATATGAATAGGACTTAACAAATTAGTTAATCCATTCCCTTATACAAAATAGTTAGGACTTAACTGATAAGTTAATTCATCCCTAGAATGCCACCATCCCATACTGGTGCATTTCATCACACAATCCACAATTGATGAAAATAAATATAATATCACATCAATTAAATCCAGAGATGAGTATAATATAAATCAGTCATGTATATGATCATAATATACTACAACTACATGATTAAATCATACATACACCACAATAAATTGCTAAATTAAATCTAAGCAATTATACTTTCCATTAACAACATGCAACTCCATTTAAAATTTCATATTGTTTAATATCTTAGCATAATAATTATAATCATGCATTCCATAACCTCCATGAATTTATTTTAACAATTTAAAATAATTAAAACAAATCCAAACAACTATTAACATGAACAGTATAAATAACATTAAGAATTTCCAAATCCTACGGCATATCGGTTGACTAAACCCGTCCTTCGATCGACCAAAACAGCA